AAGGTTTTGCACAACCCTACTATTAATGGGTAGAGGAGCACAAGCAAACTAACAAAGGCTATAGTATACCAGCCCAATTATGGCTAGTTTGACATCCCAGAATTCCTAGAAACATAATTGTTATGATTTTGATGTTGTAAAATATATTCTTGATTTCTTGAATTTCCAAAATACATGCTTTAGAGGAGTGTGGCAGAAACCCTTGTAGGTGGGAAGCTGATTAGCAAGTGGCTAATCAAACACTGGACAAAAGCAAACACTGGACTTTCCAATGGTGTAGAGGACCTGCTGAAGTTTATTATCCCCAGTACTGTGAGCATTCAGGGATAGGGTTTGAAAAGAAAAACAGACTTTTTGAAGTCCATGCAATCTAAATTCTGTAGGTTTCTCATTACTGCCCTCTAATAACAACCATTCTCCTGAATTCCCACCTGCTCCTTCATCCGAGCAGCCTCTGTGCTCAGCGAGCATTCAGGCTCTCATACTCTGCTGCTGTGATTTACTCAAAACGAGGCTGGTGTTTTCTTCAAACTAGTGCCCTCCAGACCACAACTCCCAAAATCCCCTTGGTAACCACTGGCACTAAATGGAGAGCACTATTTTACACAACAAACATCAGTATGCTTTTGGTACTAGCTCAGTATGGGAGGCCTTATTTATTTATTTATTTATTTATCCAATTTATACGGCTGCCCATCTCAACAAGTGATTGCACAGCAAACAGAATTAAAGTAGAATAAAAACAACAAAAAACATTATAAAAATTAAAAATACAGGCATCCAAGAAACAACAACCCAAATCACTAACACAACCAAGAAGTGGGTTCCTGGACACACTCGGGGCCTCAGGCTGGGGCACAGAACCAGGTCAATTTATACTCTTGTTCTGTTGCTGTTTTATATTATTCTATTTTTGTTTTTTAACTGTATTTTTTGTGGCTAAACTTCTAGAGTTTTGGAGATTGGGGCAGATTATAAATATTGTATAAATACATAGATATATATTGTAATTTAAGTTTGAAACTTACATTTTTATTTAGGGCTTTTTAGAATCTTAGAAAGGCTTATAGTTGTATGTTATATAAGTATTGTTGTAAACTGCCTACAACTATTTAAGTGGGCAGCATATATATATATAAATAAATAAGCAAGCCAATAAACCAATTCTGCATTAGCCAGATGAATGAACATTGTAAGGGTTGTTAAAATAAACAATGTAAAAAGTGTGGACTCAAAATCCTTAGGTACATAATCATTGATAACAATGTTTGTGCTTTAGAGTATATTGACTGTTTTTAAAGGAATCGGAGATAAACTCCAGTCTTCATAATATTTGATGAAGTGTTTTCGGGAGTACAAATAATTCATAGAAAAAAAAATCTGTAAACCTAATTACTTAACCACTCTTGATTTAAATTCCTCAAGGAGATAACATGAATACCATGACAGCTTGCAGCAATAGTGCCTCACTGCAGGCAGTCCCAAGGTTAAGAATGTCCAACTTACAGACAACTCATGCTTATGAATGGACTGCCTATTACTAAAAATGGCAGGCGGTGTTCTGCTTCCTTGAGCCAATGAACTGCGGAAGCTGCACATTTTTAATATACAGCCTGTTTTCAGCGGTTTTCAGCGATTCAGCAGTTTGTAGGCTCGAGGAAGGAAAACACCGTCTCCCAGTTTTAGTAATAGGCAGCCCGTTCATAAGTATAAGTTCCAATTTACATACAAATTCAAGTTAAAGACAGACTTAGGAAAGGAACTCGTTCTTAACTAGGGACTGCCTGCATATTCCTGTTTCTGGACAGGAACAGTTCTCAACCAGCTGTAACACTGAAATCTGACAGCTACATGTTTTTGTGAGGGTGATGTCTTGGCCTATCTGAGCAAGGTATATTAAAGGAATGGTAACAGCGGCCTCTGCAGAGAGGTCAAAATCTGTAAGGCAGCAGGTACAGTATCACAATCCAAGGCCAAGTCACACAGGTACAAAAGGGGTGGAAATCTTGCTGCCCTGCAGATTTTGATGCCCCACAACAGATGCCTCTGAATAGTAAATCTTCTTTTGTGGTTCTTTTTTGTAAAGAGAATGTCAAGCAAGATCTTTGAGTCAGATGATATTCTAATAGAGAAAATGGCAAAATATGGGCTGGTCTATGCTATCATCAGATGGATAAAGAGCTAGTTGAACAATGGTATTCAGGATATGACATTACAGCGGAAGGAAGTGTTGAATGGTATATTGCAGAGCTTTGTTCTACGACTTCTGCTGTTCAACATATTTGTAAATGATGACTGAGGGATTAGAAATACAATTATCAGATTTACAGAGAACCCAAAAATGAACATAGGAAGATTCCAAGCACCACAGAGGGCAATACTCAGGAGGGTCTTGATTACCAGAAAAATGGAGAGAAACTAGCAAGACAAATGCCTACAAAGTCCTACATTTGGATAGGAAAAATCAAAGGCATGAATGTTGGATGGGGAACAGCAGACTTAATAGTGGGTGAGAAGGATCTGGGTAGACTTGGTGGCTTGGTGGATCACAATATGAGCCAACAGTATAATGCAGCTGCAAAAAAAGTAAATATACCGTATTTTTCCGACTATAAGACGATACTTTTTTCTAAAATCCTTACCCTAAAAACTGAAGGGCGTC